AACCCCCTCATTTAGAGGGTAGCTGGAAGCCACTCCTAGAGACTGTTGCTGGGCACTCAGGGGAACCTACCATGCCTAGGAACTGCCAACCCTCAGAATGTGAATCAACCATAGCATATGTTTCTAATTTCTAACAGATGCACTGTAACATGCTTACCTCATCCTGGTTATGACTGAAGTCCTATAGGCTTCAACTAATTTAAGCAACAATCTGGTGACCAACAGAAGACTGTGTTTGAACCAGGTAGCATTTGCTAGAAGAGCTTCAAAGGAGATTGTCCCAGAGATCTCTACCAATAGTCTCGTGCACAGAGTAGGTGTTCATTAGATATTCTGTATAGCTGTTAAATTGTAGGTAACGATAATTGGGCTTGTCTATTTTTACAGATGCTTGGAAAAATATAAGATTAAATTGCTGGGGAAAGAGTGGGATGGGAAGGAGATAGTGAAGGGAATGTGTGAGTTTCTGAAGGGATAGCTATTCTTGTCTAATTATTTCTCTTTTCCTTGACTTGTCAAGACAAGAAAAAAAAAAGTTGTTTTTCACCCAGTGGCTATTCATTAAATCTTTATGGGACTGAACTGCCACCAATATGTTTTAAACTCACGAGACCTTTGCAAATTATAATAGCTGATTTCCCTGCAAATGGAAATGATATATTTAGAGGCTTTCCTGGAAGAATGAACTGGCCCCAGGGATTCATAATGGACTGTAGAGCCTTTCACCTCAAGGTCAGTAGGTCAAATCCAAATCAGGCCTGAGGTGGCTGAGAGGCATTGCTTGAGTGGCAGCTGTCAGGTGACCAGGGTGAAAGGAGCTGGAGGCTTCGGCTGCATTTCAAGTGATGTGAACAGGTGCTGTCTGCCAGGGTCCTGGCAGAGGATGAAAGAGAGTGGTCACAAATCACCTGGGGTTGGTCTCCCAGACTCAGAGGCCATTTTTGACCTGGCAAAGTGAGGAGCTGAACTTCCAAGTACTTTTATGAGAGGAGGAAAGCTGAGGGGAGGACATGTCTAAACTGCCAAGGCCTCAGAAGAGGAGGGTGTGTCAGATGAATGGCGAGGCACCTGCTGCATCACCTGAGGCCAGAGCTGGCTTCTGCGAGCTAAGCATTTCACTGCCTTCTACCTTCTCTGCCTCACTCCTTGCTCGCTTTCTTTCCAATGGTGGCTGGCACTGTCTTCTGTCACTAAGTAAGGACGAACAAGTGAAGATGCAAAGGGATCAATGGGCAGACTGCAGTGATTAAAATAAATGGTGAGGGTTTTCCAGTTTTCAGTTGTGCAATACATTTTACACCCTGCACATCTTAGACTCACAGGATGCAGGAGTGGGGTATAAAATATGTAATAGAGTGGGGGGTCAGAATTTGGTAGCTGCTTCATAAAAGCTTAGGACAGAACACTGCATTTGTCCTACCCCTTCTTTGGACTGTTGAAGAAATTGAGGTCCGGATAGTTGGAGGTGGGTCACTGTGTCAGGGTCTAAGTTACCAGCAAGTTAGGTGACTCCAACTGATGAGAATAGTCAGTGGAGGTATTGAAAGGATATCAAGTAGTACACAGCAGCTTAAGGGAAGCAAGTGTGGCCAGTAGCGAGGAGGCAAATCTTTGACAGTTCTTCAGGAGAGGTCCCTTTCACTGCTTTAGCCACTGGCTATAGGTTAGGGCAGGGAATATCCTGCTCTGGAGAGAAAACTGGCATCTTCTTGCTTCAAGTCTCTATTTAAATTTCACTTTCTAAAAGAAGCTTTCCCTGGCCATTATATGTAAAACAGTATGTAACCCCTTCCACTATATGTAACCCCTTCCACCTACATGCACTCCCTTTCCCTCTATTCTTTATTGCTTTTCATGGCACTTATTCCCATCTGACCATTACTCATTTATTACTTACTATTTACTTTCAGTCTCTGCCTCCAACCCCCTTCTCCATGATCCCATTTCTGAGGGGTAGAGTGTCCTCCAGAAGTTGCCTGTACCCTTAGGAGAGGAGGTTCCCTTAGACTCCAAGTCTGGGCAAGTTTCAAAGCTCCTCCCTTAGGAATCTCATAGGGATGGGGGTGGGGTCCTGGTTTTTTTTTCCTCAGCGGTTTCCCCTTTTGCCTGCAATCCAAGATCCTCAGTGAGAAGGCTCTTCCCTGGTCCCAAACCATGGAGGAAAGCAGCTTTCTGAACAAGTGAATGAACAGGTATGGAAGGAGAAAGGGCCACCGCAGGCCAGAGTCTCTGTGCTGTTTGGATACCAAATTTTCAACCAAGTTTTTGCTGGCAGGCTCAAGGGACCTGTCTGCTAATATGGCTTAGCAAAGATTCCTCCTAGCTCTATCCAGCCGTTCTCTCTCCATTTTTCTTTTTCTCTTCCCGCCCCCTCCTTTCACCTGCAGCCCACCCCCCACCCCCATCCATTTCCTAGGAAAATAAATCTCTGGGAGGAGGCAGGAAGAGTGGATCTCAGCGAACCCTTCTGAATAAATGTCTATATTAATGAATTATTAACTCAGCCACCCGTGACCTTAAACCTAGAAGCAGGAGCACCCAGGGCAGAGCGGAGAGCTGCTGAATCGTTTATTGGAGTCCTGTCAAAGGCAACGGACCATTTGTTCCACTCCCCCATCAAGAAAACATAATTAATATGAAAGGCAAACTTTTGAATTGTATGTCAAATGAAATCAGATAGAGGGTCTCCTGGACAGAACCCCCTTCTCTCCTCCTACCCCTTCTGCTGCTCCCTCCCTATCCTGGCCTCCAGCTCCATCCTTCCCCTCCCAGCTCAGGGTACAATGGGCTTCCCAAGGATAATTTTCGGGGCGAAAATGCTCAAGAAAATAATGAATTTGGGTAATTTATCGATCCTGGCTCCTCTTCCCACTTGTTTTATTTTAGAGGTCGTTAATCAATGAAGAAAAACACCACCGTGTCCCCCCGTTTGCATTTAATACACTCAGGCTCCTTATTTATTCCTCTGGAACAAATTCCCAGCAAATATTCACCCATCGATTTGGGAGCCATGGATTTTTGTAAAGGTTTGATCGCTTTCTAAGTGGTCGAAGTGATTTGTTTCCGCGGTCTTCTCAGTATTGAAGGGGGTGGGGGGAGCGGATTTGAGGGGGTGCATGTCCTTGCCGTCGGTGGGCTCACTTTCTAAAAACTACTGATACGCGCCAGGGTGTCCGTGACCAAGCGCGCCCAGGGTCAACTGTGTGAGGGGGGAGCGCCCCTCAGAGCGTGCGTAGCGTCGCGGGTCCCGCCTATGCCGCTGCGCGCCCTTTTGCGCACCGGGAGGGGACCACGCCGACCCAGCCTCAGCCGAACTCCGCGGGCATCCGGGAAGCCGCTGTGGAGGCAGGTGCCCAGCCCAGCGGCGTGGGCCTGCTGGGGAGAAGCGCGGGAGGTCCAGACTCCCGGTCTATTCCCTTCCAGACTTCTTCGTTCGCTCCCGGGCCTTCGGGGCTCTCCCTCAAACTTTCTCCTGCCCCTTTCACGGGAGGTCCCTGTACTCTCTGGGCCTTAGGGTCCTCGGGATCGACTTGTGCCCAGGGTGGGTGGGATGGAAGCTTGAATCGGATAACCCAGGTACGCCACCTGTAGACGTAGTGGGCGAGGGGGACTTCGCTACCTTCTCAGCTTCTTCCCTGGCCCCCGCCGCCAAATCTCTCCCATGGTACCCCCTCTGGCGTCAGTCTGGACCGAGTGGCTACAGGTTTGACTACGGTGGGCAGTAGATGCACTTGGCACCTCACCGAACGGTGTTTGAATCCGCCTCCATTACTCATTAATGGCGTGACCTTAGGCAACCCGTCTAAACTTTCCGAACCTCAGCAGTCCCCATCTACAGTATGGGGGTTAATGATAATGCCTTCCCCGCATGGTTGCTAGGTGGATTAAATGGACGTAAAGCGCCTACCCGCGCTCGGCACGTCCAAAGCTCTCATTAACAGGTCAGCTAATCTTATTACGAGAGGAACCCTGCCCCCTCTGCTTCCCAGAGTGCGGGCGGCATGAGGCCACCGAAGCAGCTGCTCCAACTAGCATTTCAAAATCCTTTCTAATGGTGGCAGGGGGTAGGGGGGAGGCGGGGTTGGGACTGGTAGAGGTTCTTTGAGACTTCCAGTTCTGGGGACCACGCACTTGGAAGTAGCTGGGTTTGGGCAGAAACAAGAAGGCAGATGACGGGACCGCCGCCGGAGTCCGGACTTCCATCCCTGGAGCTCACTGTCTCTCCCAGAGAACAGAGGAGTGTCCTGCTTTCTCAGCAATGAACCAGGAGAGTGTGAGAAACAGCATTTGTTTCTTCTCCCGTGGCCCGACAGACCACTCTTCGGCAGTTCTGCGAGCAGATTAATTGAAGCGGGCCTGGAACTTCATCCTCTCCTCCCGATGGAGTTGCTGGAAGTCTGCGGAGACTGCCTGGTTAGCCTCCGGGACCACAGCACCGTGGGTTTTCCCTCGTGGCGTCTGCCTTAAACTTGGGTGCTATCAATCTATCCAACAATGATGGATGACCTTGTCATAACGACGCCAGTCAAAACATTTTCGGTTCAACTCTGTCCCAACCAACATCGAAGCATCCTGCATGAGACCCGGATGAAGTCTAAACAGCACGTTTCTCAGGCTCAGACAACTTGAGTGGTAGGAAAAGAAAAAGAAACAAGCAGAAATCAGGAAAGAATGGCTATTAATTGTTCAGACTGGCAAGTGCTAAATAAGTTAGGTTGTTTGAAGAAAGATAAATGCCGTTTCTTCTCTTTGAGGTATGGCCAGAACCCCGGCGATGGGAAAGTACCTCCTGAATTGGTCAATTTCACACACCCTGCCTGTGCCCTCTACCATCTACTACCGAAAATGCCAGGAAGAGCTGGGGGGCAAGTGCCTAATTCGTGGGCACCAGACTGCATCGAAGGGCTGCCCTGGCACAAAGTCTGGGGAGAGGGCATGGTGGAGGTGGGGCTGCACTCCCACCCTGTCCCTCTAACGTCAGGTTTTGGGTAGAGAAACCTATGCATGACCTCCGGGGGCAGCCGCAGGCAGCTGACTGCAGACAGCCTCGCCCGTGTCCCATAACAGTTGTGCCACCAGATGTAACACTGGATACTTGCTTCTGGGCCCCAACAAGGAGAGGGAAAGAGCCCTCCAGAAGACAACCCGAGAGGGGGTCGGCAGAACGCTGGGTGGTGTCCAGACTCTATCGCAGCCACCTCCCAGCCCCACAACCAGGCTTGAGTCCCTCCAGGACCAGCTGCTCTCGGTCCCAGGACCCTCGGTCCCACGCCTCCCTGCACCTACAAGCCTGCCTCCTGGGCTGCAGACAGAGGGTTTCACTGCAGCGCGCAACCCGTCCCGCTCCGACCCCAACTTTTCTCCCCGGAGGATTTATGTTAGAGGTTGAGTGGCGGGCGAGTGGACTCTGGCACCCAGAAGCACTCCAGGAAAAACTGAGCCGGGCAAAAGCGCAAACCCGGTCTCGGCAGCGCGGGCTTGCTCCAGCGCCGACACTACAGCGTGTGCGGAGATGCATTCCGGTTGCCGCGTTTCCACTGCTTTTAAGATCAGGGCACTGAGCTGGGACCCAGAAAAGACATATCATGGGCAGAAAGAGACAACAGGCTAGCGGGAGACGTCACGCCAAAAAAACGGGATGGAACGGCGGAGGAGTTTGTGCGGGAAAGGCGCACTGGCGGTGTGGGTCGGGCCCAGTTAGAACTTCCTTCTTCCCTCTCCCCTCCCCTTCTTCTGGACTGCCTCCCCTCCCCTCTCCGTCCGTTCGTTCTCTCTTTCTGTCTCTCTCTCTCTCTCTTTCTCTCTCTCTCTCTCTCGCGCTCTCTCTCTCTCTCTCTCTCACACACACACAAACACACACACACACACACACACACACACACACACACTTGTATTTTGTGCTGTCGTAAAACCCACGTGTCCAGCCGGGAGGCTGCCAGAGCGTGGAGCCAAGGAGCCAGGA